AGACTACACATTGAAGATTGAAGTTGAAGATTGAAGATTGAAATTTGACCAATAAGGACAAAGAAATTTTAGCTTCTTTCGTATCGATTGGTCAAATTTGAATTTTTCAATCTTCAATCTCAATCTTCAATGCATAGTCTGATTCCGGCTTTAAGACTCCACCCTAAGGGTGGAGTCCCATGCGGTGTATTTATCGCGTATCGCATAACCGCGTAACCAATCAGAAGCGATCTGCTGTTATAGTTTCGCGTTTTACTGATTATTGATTGGTTATGCGCTTACGCGATACGCGGCAAACATGCCTGATGGGACTTCACCCTAATGCCTAATGCCTAATTCACAATGGACGCAGCAAGGATAAAATGATACACGGGGGTACCCAGGTGATGTTCCGAACGCAGCCTTACTCACTCCAACGCGCTTGATAGAGTGAGTAGGAGCTATGATAGAGCATGTTGGAGCATGTTGGAGCTTACGACGCGAACAAACCTTATGCCAAATTCACACTGGACGCAGCAAGCGTCAAGCAGCGAAGCAGCAACCAATCAGTGAGACGATATTTAGGCCCAGTTTACGCCACTGTAAGGTCCAGTTCCACAACTCACGGTTAACTCTTAATCGAGGTTTAACTTATTCACTGTCTCTTTCCAATTTTAGAATTGTATCCTATAGGTTAAACAAAGACACCTATCATATAGGTCGCGGACTAAGTGCACGGTGTAAACGTAGCCAATAGGCGATTTTTGGCGTGCTTCTGGTATAGCAACCAAAAGCAACCGCGACTAAAGTTATCTTCTCGTTTTCAGGGATCAGAAGACAAAGATAGCCCCAACCGCGGTTGTTTTTAGTTGCTATATCAGAAGCACGCCAAAAATCGCCTAATATCGCCTTGCTGGTTGGTTGCTGCCCCGTTGCTTGACGCTTGCTGCGTCCAGTGTGAATTATGCTTTAAGCATTATGGTAGGAGCACATTGGAACATGTTGGAGGTTGGAGCATGCGACGCGAACAAACTTTAAGTTAATCAGAATTGATGAAGTCGGCCCTCTGTTGCACTATATATAGGGTCTCTACTTCCAACAATTATAAAATAAACATTCTGCTGAACGCAACCATTGTATCAATTCAAAACAAACATGCATCATTTGCGACTTTTCGAACGCATCGAAAATTAAAAGATGAACGATAAATTATGCAATACTAAGTTTTGCAATAACGTAAGTAAGAGCGGTATGTCAACTGTTTTAAAGTTTTTTAATAAAAAAAAAAACAATATATGAATAGCTATATAGATGTATTCATGACGCGTTCAAACTGAGAGTGCCTAATTTCAGGCGTGAGGGCGCAACCAGCCGCGAGTACATTTTCGCATCGTGACGAACTTCGCGCGATGCGCGTTTGTTCAAGTAGGGCGATCTTTACCGGCCTTCTACTTCCTCTTCTCGTGACTTGATACAATGGCGTCCGGAGTAAGTAACTTTCACGCGGTTTTTCACCGGTTGGCATCCGCGCCGTGAAGCGCCAACGCTGGCGACGGAATGTCAGAAAACAAAGCCCACACAATGCGTTATCCGCCCCATTGTGAATTTCTTTCAGATCCTTTACACGTACCCGGAAAATTTCCGAGCCTACAAGGCCCTGATAGCGGCTCAATTCTCTGGCACCCAGATCAAAATTGCCGATGACTTCGTCTTTGGCGAGACTAACAAAAGCGAAGCGTTTCTGAAGAAGTTTCCGTTGGGAAAGGTAAGTCGACTCACTCGCGTTACTTTTGTAATTGACTTCCGTACGAATTTTTTTTTTTTTGTTTGCAGTGTAAAATTAACACGCTTTCCCTCATCGCATATGACAGAGACTGTAAAATACTTTGTTAATACCGGTACTTTTGATTTATAACAAACTATCGTGAAGTACTATTCAGACAACGTTTCTTTATTATATTCCAATTGTTTTTACATTTAAAACATTTTGATATACAAAAATGTAGCGATTCATATGGTATGGTTAGAATTGGCGCTCATATTCTTATTATAGGAATATTCAATGTATAATAGATCTGTGTAATATAAATAGAATAATATAAGATGATTAATTTTTTTATATCAGAAACAAGAAAAAGTGAGTGAGAAAAAAAGAAGATTGTAGGAAAGAAGGATGGGGGTGGGGGTAGGAGCCACTTTTCTCATTTTTAGCTGCTAAAGCTGCTATCTATATACATTGTAATATAATAGAACATGTTTTTCAACATATGAAAAATTTTTAAGGTCCCGGCATTTGAAACATGCGATGGAAAATATATTACGGAAAGCAATGCAATTGCTTATTATGGTAAGACTTTCTTTAAAAAAAATTATTTATGCATTTTCCCGTAATATCTGTTTATTTAAACATGTATATGTGCCATATTTATAGTGGCTAATGATCAATTGAGAGGAAAAACTGATATTGAACGTGCATTGGTTATCCAATGGCTAGGGTTCGCTGATTCTGAAATTCTTCCTGCCAGCTGTGCTTGGGTGTTTCCTTTACTTGGAATAATGCCATACCATAAACAGGTAAATTTTTTTCCATTGCATCACATATTCGATTTTGCATACACGATTACATGTATCCTCCTTCAAAGGCAAAATTGGCGCAACATAGCCATTCTTTGTAACTCAGAGAGGTAGATTAAACTTTGCATGTAATATTTACATACAAAGCATATGCGTTTAAGAGGCATGTGCTTTTGTAATACCGCATATACATACATTTATTACTTGATACGAGCGCACATGCACATGTAGCAAAATTATGACATAAAATGCTAATGTAACATTAGTTAGTTGAATTTATGTGATTTCTTTTAGACTGTGGAGCATGCTAAAGAAGATATATTTAAAGCACTCGCTGCTTTGAACTCTCATTTGCTTACACGAACTTACTTAGTGGGAGAACGATTGACTTTGGCAGATATCTGTGTAGCTATGACATTGCTACACTTGTATCAATATATTCTTGAGCCGGAACTACGTAAGCCTTACCAGAATGTAAATCGATGGTTCCAAACGGTCATTTATCAACCTGAATCCATTGCTGTAATTGGTGCCTTTAAATTGGCGGATAAGACTATTGAGTACGATCCTAAGAAATTTGCAGAAACTCAGGGAAAGGTTAATATATCAATGAAAATATATAATTGTTACAAAAGAAAGATTAATATATAGTAAATTTTTATCTTGTATAGAGTTCGAAAAAAGAAAAGAAAGAGAAAGAGTCTAAAAAGGAAGCTAAGGAGTCTAAGAAAGAATGTAAAGTTGTAACGGAAAAGATTGCAGCAGTAGAAGATGAAGCTGACGCAACGGAGGAGGCTTTAGCCGCCGAGCCGAAAAAAAAGAATCCCTTTGCTTCGATGCCTAAAAGCTCATTCGACCTTGATGATTTTAAACGATTTTACTCCAATGAAGATGAATCTAAATCAATTCCTTACTTCTGGCAAAAGTTTGATCCGGAAAATTATAGTATTTGGCTTAGCGAATATAAGTACAATAATGAATTAACGAAGGTATGCAGATGCTTGAGAAGTATTTGGAAAAGTATATTTAGTCATTACATGCGTGCTTTTGTATTTGTGTAGGTTTTCATGTCCTGCAATTTAATCAGTGGTATGTACCAACGATTAGATTCATTGAGAAAAGGTGCATTTGCTAGTTGCTGTATATTTGGGGAAGATAACAACAATACGATCAGTGGCATTTGGGTCTGGCGAGGACAAGATCTTGTTTTCACAGTAAGTTTTATTCGAGCACTTAAATGGAATATATATAGAATATTTGTGTTAAAATGTAAAAATATTTTCTTTTTCTCTAGCTGAGTCCAGATTGGCAAGTGGATTTCGAATCTTATAATTGGACAAAGCTTGATTCGTCTAAGGAAGAAACGAAGGCATTGGTCGAGCAATATTTCAGTTGGGTTGGCACGGACAAAGAGGGGCGCAAATTCAATCAAGGAAAAGTTTTTAAGTAAAACCTTGCATCAAATAAGGAGACAAAATAAAAACAGAAAAATCTATTCGAATGAAATAAATTTAAAGAAATGATAAAATATCATCAGAAAAGATTTACATATGCCCTTTAAAAACCCTGTATTTAAGATAATTACCTGAGGTCTCTTTTGCCTAAATACATGTTCCTTTCTCTCTATCTTAATATGAAATTTCTTATATATATAGGCATATATTGCTTTATATGTATTTTTAGTTTTCAAAATATATACAAGATTTTATTGTGTATATACGTGTGTATGTACATATATGTGCATGCACATACGATATATAATATATAAAAGTACATATTAAGATTTATATATCTGGAAAATTTTAAGGAACTATTTATTTTCGTCTGGATACGATATTTTTCATTATTTTTCGTTTACATCTCTGTCATTCTTGATCAGTTAGTACGAGCTGTTAATTCAAATTGAATGAATCTCGAATAAGAAAAGATATATGCATGCACAAGTAGAGAAAGACATCCATATTTTGCACTGTAGGTTAAGTTTATGAAAAATGTAATAATTTTGTTACAAAGAACCGTTTTATATATATTCATATATATTTGTTGCAGTGATTTAATTTGGAATTCATATGAGATACTATATCTTGATTTTGATATTTATATATTCATATTGAGAGTTAATTAAAAATTGTTACATATGCAACATATATGTACTTAACAGATACTTAACGCATTTTTAAAAAAATGTATGGATAATTTCTTTGATATTGATACAAACGTGTATTTTCACAGAAATAAATTGGATATTGTTGAAGTCCTAAAACTATGCTTTCTATTTTCCCAATAAGTAAAAATATTAGCATGCTGACAAATGAGGAACGTGAAATATGATTCTTCAATTGAACAAGAATTGCAAATCATTTTTTCAAGGCATTAGGATAATTTGCAAGACAATATTAAATATACAATATGTTTTGTAACAAAGATTCAGTGTTTATTGTATATTTACAAAGTATAATTTATTACGGAAACCAATTATTTTTAAAAACCTTTAGTATGCATCCATTCTTTAACACGATTAACATAGTCACCTTTAACTTTAATTAAACCTGCGAATTCATGTATCTGCGTAGCAATTTTGCGTCCCGTGCATTCTTCTACGTATTTCTTTATGTCATGTTCCAAAGCCCATATATTTCCTTGAATTTTAGTTATTTCTGTAACTTTTTTAATTCCTCTGGGACTTCTATACAAATACACGGGCTGCATGTAATTTTTCGTACGTTCTATGAAGTAGGGATTATCCTTGGGCGAAGCTGTTAAAGTAAAAAAAAATACATTACTTTGAGATAAAATTTCAGTTCATGTATTTTTGGTGCAAAAAATGAAACTTGCAAATGAAATATATTTTATAATTGTCGTACCAGATGCTGGTTTATAGCCAGATGGGAATTTATTTCCGATGGTTGGTGGTTTAGGTATAATTTTGTATGGAAGTAAACGCTCTACATATTTCCATTCGTTTTCATCTTTGGTAATCTCGTAATCTGTGTAATCTTCAGGTGTCATATATTTTGAAGATGATTTGTAACTACCCCATCTCTGTTGAATCTGAAAATGACGACAAATGATTTGTGGAAAACTTCACATTTTTTCATCATAATAATCAACTTTGTCATTATCAAGTTAAATGAATATCGCATTATTAGGTAAGAAATGTCGAAAAAATTGCATTTTCACTTTAGACTTATAAAAATTACAATTTTCATACACATTTGTAAAAGTAAATAACAATAACATGTATCATTTCATTTACGATTCATCGATACTATTAAACAATTCACATAATTGTAACATACAGGAAAATTTGGAAGAATTGAGTCGAAAACTACAAACAAAATTGACGACCAAAAGATTCTTGAACGAAATTGTTTCCAATAATCTCAAGATAATAAAGGAAGGACATAAAGAATTGTGTGAAATCGTCTGGAGAAACCTGACACGTACCTGAGAGACTGAGAGCGTCGTCGTGACGACGAGGTTACCGCGTGCGAAAATCCGAAGGGCCGCCATTTTGAAAACTATAGTAAATAAGGGTCGGCGGCCATTGAGATGAGCACCGTACGGACGAGACGGGCGCGGACGCGTCCTCCCTCTCGCGTTCTCTCTCCCTCTCCCTCTCTTTCTCGTCTTAACTCGTCATTATTCGTCAGCACTCGTCACCGCAGCCGAGTCGAGCCGAGTCTGGACTGTCTGGTCTGGACCGCGGCGAGTCTCGTATCGCGGGCAACCGCGTGCCAACTCGCGGCGCTATCGTGACATTCGTTTTTTTTCGTTCGGGTATCAGGCCCGTGCGGGCCACTACTACCGTCGACGAGTCGACGTCGACGGGTCGACGGCGACGAGGTAGGTGAGGTACGTGGGTCGTGCGCGCTCGGCAGCGCCAGCCAGCGCTCGCCACGCTACGAGCAGCGGAGCAGCTACGAGCTACGGTACAAGATCCGCGCTCTGTAAAGTACTGTAACCTGTAACGCGGGGTCAGTTAGCGCGCACGTACCGTAGCGTAGCGTTTCCCGAGTGGTGGAGTCGGAGGCGGGGCGACGCGAAAAGGTGACGCGACGCGGCGGGATAAAGTGAAGTGAAGCGATTAGCGAAGTGAAGTGAGGTGTGAACGTAACTAGTGGTCGTCGTTGTCGCTACTCTCCCGGTAGCCGGCGTCGCGACGTCCCCGACGGTGCTCCTTCCAACTCGCATCGTTTCGAGAGTCGGGCGCGACCGCTCGGTGTCTACCATCTCGGGGGGTATCGGACCGGGGGTAGCGAAACCAGGTGAAACCTAGTGAAAACTGACGAGACCGCGCAGGGGTGCGATCACGACCAAGCGGAGCAAGTAACGCCTTGTTATCGCGAACGGACTATGCTCCTGGGACAAATCGCACGCCACGGCCGTCAGGTGGCGGTAGCCGGGAAACAGTGGGACGGCGCATAGACACCCTGCAACGGGACTGTTCTTTCCACGGGGATTGTTGTTCGCGTTTACTCGCGATCATCACGGACCTACGGCAGGATTTTCAGTCCCCAAGGTGAGTACCGTCGTCGGGGTCGCGAGGGGGCCTGCGATCGATCGCCGCTTCGGTCCCGTCGCGGCGCGCTACCATCCCGAAAGTTCGAGACGAGCTCCGACCTTTTGTTTATTCGTGGCGATTTTTTCATCATCATTTCTCGCGACGATTTCACGGCCTTCCCGTAGAGTGCCGAGCCGATTTCTCGGCTCGATAGTTAGCGTGTGACGCGGGCTTTCTCGCGAGCGCGAAATTGTCGCGAACGGCTTAACGCGGGCCGAGATATCGCGCGAATCATTTCAGCCGTGCGAGAGCGGTAGTTAACGCAAAGTTTGTCACGTAATTTTTCTGGTCGCCAGGGCCGCATCTAGCAACCCCGCTATCCTCTCTCCTATTCCCTGTCCTCTCCGACACGACTCCGACTCGACGCTGCGCCGCGTCGTGCAGCCACTTTTCTAGCTCCCTGTGTGTTGCCCTTCCGTCGATGTCTCTCTAGCCTCTCGCGCTCTCCCTCGATTATGCCTCGCTAAATCGTGCGTGCGTTTCACACCGCGAAATGATATCGCGCGCCCGCGCGCACGCTACGGCTCCTTGCCGTTGCAAAACGTGGATTTTGACTCGCCATTTTACTTTTACGCTAGTCCATCTTTTCATGGATATTTACAAATATCAGATACTTAGATAGTTTATTTTCGTAATTATCGTTTTGTCTTTTACCAAGTGTTTTGCTTCATGCTTTTTTCTCTTTCTCTCTGTCTCAACGATTTTTCCATTGAGTCATTCGAGACTCGTTTTCTACATATATAGTAATTTTATAATGGTTGCAACTATTGTAATAATTTGCCAAGTAATTTGTCGACGATGAGTTTAGATAGTTGTTGAGAAAGTACAATGTAAATGACGTTACAGGAGCCCAATGTGGGTGGAAGTGAGATGGCATCCAGGGAAAAGAAACCCTTAGCGCCTTCCAAATCGAAACAGAAGGCGAGTAACGATTCCGTCTTGCCATCCAATGAGGTCAAGAATAAGAAAGGCAAGTCATTGCTGAATGTAAAACAGCAGCTTGCGGCACAAGAGATTTTTGATACAGTAGCGACAGGTAGTCAACTTCCTGTAAAAATAGAGGCGAGCTTACCGCGTAGGAATGCTCTTAAAAATCTGAAACGCAAACAGAACTTAAGAGCAACCAAGGCAAATCTTATCAAGTCCAAGGTTACCAAGAAAGTGACCAACAGGATAGCTCCTGACATTAAGAAAGGTGCCAAGGGTGCGAAAAAAGTTCGACAGCCAGAAGATTCGACCGCCAAGACAGCAGATATCGCTCAGAAATTTTCAGAAAATCAGACAAACAACGGGGACAACGAAGGCAAAGGAACTGAAACACCAAGTAAAAGTGCCAAGAGTAATCTCAGGACCAAAAAAACCAAATCTGACGTTCAAAATAAGGAAGAAGCTGGTGCTGCGTCAAGTGCTAAAGTCAGTCCGAAACTTGGCAAGAAAGGAAAGACAACGGAAAGTCCAGATTCTTTGTCTAAGAGTGCCAAAACAGTCAAGTTAACGAACTTGAAAAAGAATAGTTCCAGTCTTGTAAAAGTTACAGAGACTGATAACAAGAGTGGAAAAAACCGGAAGAGCACTGGTAAGGAATTAGATTGTGGTACTAGTGCAAGAAGCAATACTAGTGTTGAAAAATTTCCAAAGACGATTTTAGATAACAAGAATTCTATCGATCTTACCATAGACGAAGTCATTGCTTCAATGTTAAGCGACTCCGAAGTTGAAAGCCAACAAAGCGTTACAGAGAAGGCTGAAGGAAAGGCGAAGAGAAGTAAGAAAATGTTGGTAGATGAAAATATCGCCTGTGACATCGAGATAAAGAAAGAACCTGACACCGACGACACCAAAGGTACATCGGACGGAGAGTCTATAGAAACGGATCAAGGACTTCAGAATGCCATTCAGTTGAGAAAAAGATCGAAAGTCGGATATATCGAGCAACCGTCTCAAAGAAGTTTGCGAAATGGAAAACAGCGTCAATTGTCAGATTTGGGAAATTCTGCAGATAACGATCCCAAAAAACGGCACAGGCTAAATTCGGATGGAACTGTTATTTCAGATAATTCGATCGAACATATCTCGGATTGTAATACAAATATCGACTCTTGCTTTTCGGATCCTGGTTGTAATGAATCTCAAAATATAGCAGCATCGAGCAAAGAGGAGATTTGTTCCAAGGATGAAGCGTTTAATTTTGAAGAAGATATTGAGACTGGATCGGAAATAGAAAACAACAATAACAGCGATCGCGCAGACAGGACAAGCGAGACCGGACCTACACTACGTTCTAAAACTAAAGCTAAAACTACAGAATGCGAAGCAACGAGAGACGATGATATCAAAATCGAAGACGTGCGAATAGTGCCCAGATGTACAGAAACGCAAGAAGATTCAAAGAAACTCAATAATTTCGAGCAAGTGAAGAGGGACAATATTTTAGCCAAATTCACAGACAAATCTAAAGGTCGCAGAAGTAGTTTAAACATAGACATGAAGAAAACAGTCAATTCCTTTTACAGCACAGATAAATCAGACGGTAACTCAAAATCGCAAATAGATCAAATGATTGAAGACATTAAATTAAATATTGCAAAATCCATTGAAAATAAGATCTTTGGTCCGGAAAAAGGTCTTGGATTAAGTAAAAACTTTGACGTGCCTAAGATTGAAGAAATTGTCGCACCACTCAGTACAGAGTCTCAGAAAATGGGACTGGAAGACAATACTGACGAGGATAAGTCCACAGTTACGAAAAATGAAATCACGTCAGAAAATTCTGAAAATTCAGTACCAAAAGTGGCCGACACTGCCAAAGAGATTGAAGAGAAACTAGTCAAGTTTGATATTGGGGAAGCAGAGACACATTCGCAGAATGTTCAAGAGAACAAGTCCTCCGATAATGACGGAATTAATGACGTACATAGTAATTGCGAGTCTACATGTAATATAAATAATAGTAATGTTGCGGAACAATCTTATAAGAATGTAGATGAGCCAGAAAAAGAAAACGTTAGTTGCAGTACAACTAGTGGCGCCAATGTCAGTAGCACCGAGTCAAAGATATTAGACGAAAATAAAAAGATTACGAGGAAGTCTTCGAGAATCAATGATAAAAATTTTGCTGACAGTGTCAGCAATAATGAAACGAGAAAATCGAATAAGACGCCAAATAAAACAGTTTCAAGATCGGATAGCATGGAGGATATTATAGCGGATATACAAAAATCTACAAACGAAGAAACGATTTCAGAGGATCAAATTTTGGATGATGATATTGTAGCTTTACCAGTGTCTGCACCGATGTCTCCTGAGCAAACAGAAAAGAGACTTACAGAAGAACATATACAAACAAAAGAAACAGAAGAGTCAGAAATTGAAATCTCTCTGAACGTTACAGATAATTCAGAAGAAGCAGAAACATTGGAAAGTATATCTCGTGAGGTAGAAAGATTAGTAGCGGAAGACCACTCTGCCAAACCATTATCAAATATTACAAATGACACGATACGAAATAAAGAGATGATATCCGATACAGAGATATTGGATCAGGAGCAGGAAGTTCAAAGTAATCAAGAAGCACCTGAGAGTTCTACGCCATTAGAATCAGTTGTCAATGACACAAACGAAGTACCAAGCAAAAGTTTAGACGAGAAGTCTGACACAATTGAACTATTACGAGACAACGATGCGTCTTGTAAGATGGCGCAAAGTGCAAAACGTCCAAAAGTTAACAATAATTTATTACACGTACCAACTACTGTAAACTGTGATTCAAATAGTAGCTCTGTAAATTCTTCGTCTGTACAGTGCACCTCTGATCGACTGAATATTGAAACCAAGGAGGACCTCGACCATGATAGTAGTTGTAAAGAATTAAACAAATCTAGCGTTATATCAAACATGGACGAGAGTACATCGGAACAAAAACCAGAACATAATGAAGCTACTCTAATGG